AAATGAACAGGAATACTTCATGCCAACCATAAGATTTTTAGAGACATTTTCGCTTCTTAAATTTAGAAGAGATAGAGGGAAAAACTTGTACATACTACATAACTACTAGGCAACCAACCTTTAACTGCAGGAAAGCTTTTGGTATGTGCAATACAGCTACATAAAACCTCTTTAGTATTCATGTTAAGTTTGAGAAAGTACCTTAGTATTTTTTTCTAGTGTTTGCCAACATTTTCATGCACACTGTTTGCTTGTTTGTACTATCATTTTATTTTAAATTCTTCAGATGCCCTTTACCTTTGCCAGTTTAGAATCATTTGTTTTAAGGGCAAGTGAGGGTTGGTTCCAGAACTTAATTAATTGTAAAGTAAATACTGGGCTACTATATGGTCATAGGTTATGTTAATACATGTATAACATTTTGTTCTGATAGAGGTGGCATACAGGAAAAGAAACAATACTAGATATCACTTCAAAGGAATAAAACAGCTACATCTTGTAGGTGTATTTTATTTAAGGATCACTACTTCATCTCTGATGTGCTGAAAGTTATTCATAATCTGTTTGACTGTAATTTTTCATATTTTCAACTTCTATCCAGCTTAGTCAATTTTAATTAAATTTTGTGCAAAGCATACCCCAGGAAGGGGGGATGGAGTGTCAAGTGTGTCTCTGTCCCTGTCAACATAATTTCAAAGCAGTTAGTAAGGTTTGGGTCAATTTTAAATCCTCTTTAGCAGAACCATTGGGCTAAAAACAATACTAATGTGAAAGCTTTATCGTTAAGTGTAGAGATGTTTTTGAAGATTATGTACCCCTAATGTACTGATAGTGTTACATTAGAAGTCTCAAATTTGCAAAGAATAGGTGTAAAATCTTTTTAAAATCTACTTCTTAACACTCAGAAACTAACGTACTGTCTAATTCATATGCAACATCGTTTTGTGTGTTGAATGATGATTCCATTTTGATAAACTTATGGCGGATGGGGGGTATGATGAAGATGCAGTTAGACATAGAAGAAAAAAAAGAGTTGATAGAATTTAGTTTTTCTTCCATTTTATTTATCAATACATATTTCTGAATAAGAAATATACTAGTACTTCTACTTCTTGGTTGGGTTTGATCAACATAAAGGGTGATCTTGCTGTAGTCAAGAAAAACATGTTTTATACGGCAAAGAAATGCCTTTATCTAATTGCAGAATGAATAAAATGGACAGAGGCAGAACTGAAGGAGATGCATGAAATGAGGAATATTTCAAAGATTGCCTGAGCATAACCACTGCTACTGGATAAACATATGGCAATATAAAAGAGCAGGGTCAATCATACAGTATGGGCCATGAGAGACCCTGAAGAAGAAAGTATTGAACAGAAACAAAAATAAAACCATTTTGACATTTATTGAAATATAGGATCAAAGTCTTACATGTAAAATTTGGGCATGTAATGACTTTTCTCTAGCTCTAAGACTTATAACAGTGATGATTTGATTTAATATCTTTATCCCGATTTGTCGAAAAGATTTGGACATAGTGCATCAATTATTTTAAAGTTTTGATACAACGAATTCATTCATTGTACTTGTAACTGAGTTTTCTGGTGCGACACTGTTTTATCGGCTTCAAAACTAAGTTTGTGATTTCCAAACCAGATTAATGAGATCATGTAATATCTTTTAACATCGGTGACTATTTAATCCATTCTTTGACATCCCAGAAGTATTTTTATTATTACAGGGAAAATATGTCTTGTACATGTATCTGTAAAAAACAGGATTATAGAAATTTTCCATATAATACAACACAATCTTAGCAACTGAAGGCAAATATTTTATCAAGGGTGTGATCTATTTATCAATATGGTTTTCAGCATCTTGCTCTACCTGTAATGACTTGCTCCAAGTTCCAATATTTAAATTTAAATTTTGCAAACATGGTTATAAAATTCTTTAAAAGCCAAATAGTTTAGGCACAAAATGCTTATATATTTCCTATCATTTGTAAAGTGTACACTGAATGAGATGTGGAATGTTAGAATTAAAGTATTAAATATGTTTTGGACTTATGTATGCTTATGCAGATAAATTTGAATTCAACTAGGGAAGGTAAATGTCATACTTATTGGGTTTGCAATCTAATGCAAGAGTATAAATATCCAAGACAAATTTGACAATTTTAATGAAGGGTATAAGTAACCCAAGAAGAATTCGACAGATAAACATCACCTGTTGGGTTTTATTCTAATGTTGGGATGTAATATCCAAGAAGAGTTGAACCAATGTCCAATACCTATTGGGTTTTCTTTCTTATGAAAAAAAATTTGAGTAACCCAAGAAGAATGTCCAATACCTTTTAGTTTATATACTATTGAAGGGATGAAGATATCCAAGAGGAATTGGACAGGTGTCCATTACATGTTGGGTAGTATTCTGATGAGGGGATTCTCAAGAAACCCAAGAATTAGACAAGTGTCCATTGCCTGTTGGGTGGGATGTAGATATCCAAGAGGAGTTGGACGGATGTCCATTACCTGTTGGATGGTATTCTGGTGAAACAATTCAAGAAACCCAAGAAGAATTGGACAAGTGTCCATTACCTGTTGGGTGAGATGTAGATATCCAAGAGGAGTTGGACAGGTGTCCATTACCTGTTGGGTTGTATTTTGATGATGCAATTCAAGAAACCCTAGAATTGGACAAGTGTCCATTACCTGTTGGGTGGGATGTAGATATCCAAGAGGAGTTGGACAGATGTCCATTACCTGTTGGGTGGTATTCTGATGAAACAATTCAAGAAACCCAAGAAGAATTGGACAAGTGTCCATTGCCTGTTGGGTGGGATGTAGATATCCAAGAGGAGTTGGACAGATGTCCATTACCTGTTGGGTGGTATTCTGATGAAACAATTCAAGAAACCCAAGAAGAATTGGACAAGTGTCCATTGCCTGTTGGGTGGGATGTAGATATCCAAGAGGAGTTGGACAGGTGTCCATTACCTGTTCGGTTGTATTTTATGAGGAGATTCAAGAAACCCAAGAATTAGACAAGTGTCCATTGCCTGTTGGGTGGAATGTAGATATCCAAGAGGAGTTGGACGGATGTCCATTACCTGTTGGGTGGTATTCTGATGAAACAATTCAAGAAACCCAAGAAGAATTGGACAAGTGTCCATTGCCTGTTGGGTGGGATGTAGATATCCAAGAAGAGTTGGACAGGTGTCCATTACCTGTTGGATTGTATTTTGATGAGGAGATTCAAGAAACCCAAATAGAATTGGACAATGTACACATGTTCAATTGTTCTTGGGTAGTTTAATTCCTTCGTCAAAATACAACCCAACAGGTATAGGACACCTGTCCAAAGCCTGTTGGATACCTTCATTCTGCCCAACATGTAATGGGCATTTGCTAATTATTAATTGGTCATGACTCAAAAAGGTTTCTCCTTAAATACTTAATTTTGTTATTCAAGAAAGGTTGAACAGAGTCTGAGATGTGTTGAGTTGTGTTTTCAAAATTCAGTTTTTTTGCACTTAGGTATTCATATATTTTAATATTAGTTATTTTGAAATACACAGGTGTATATCCTTATTGCTAAGAACAAATTAGTTAGGTGTTACAATAAAAGAGCTATATCACAGAAATTGACAAAAATATGGGTTCAAAACCAAAGGTTTTCAGTCTTGTCTGAATTTACCAGCAAGTATTAAATATATAATAAATTTGAAATGAATAAAAAACAATAAGAAAAAACCCAATAAAATACGGACACGAGGATTAATATCCAATAAGATTTGAACAGAAACTACCCAAATAATGCTCTCTCGTGTGTACACTTTTTTTGTATCCAATAAGCAGTATCCAATAGGACTTGGACTTGATGTACCCAATATATAACCAAATGTGTGTCCGTCCGTCTGTCTGTCTGTCCGTCTGTCTGTCTGTCTGTAAACAATTTTTCAAAATGCTACTCCTCCTACAGTTTTGGTCCGATTTCAATATAACTTGGCACACAAGTAGACTACACTAAGATACATAATTTTGTGCATCGGTTTTTGATTTCGATGAACGGTGTTGCCGTGGTTACTAAAAATAGAAATTTCTGTGAAATTCTTTCAAAATGCTATTCCTCCTACAGTTTTGGTCTGATTTCAATATAACTTGGCACAAAAGTAGACTACACTAAGATACATAATTCTGTGCATCGGTTTTTGATTTCGATGAACGGTGTTGCTGTGGGTACTAAAAATAGAAATTTCTTTGAAATTCTTTCAAAATGCTACTCCTCCTACAGTTTTGGTCCAATTTCAATATTACTTGGCACACAAGTAGACTACACTAAGATACATAATTCTGTGCATCGGTTTTTGATTTCGATGAACGGTGTTGCCTTGGTTACTAAAAATAGAAATTTCTTTGAAATTCTTTCAAAATGCTACTCCTCCTACAGATTTGGTCCGATTTCAGTATAACTTGGCACACAAGTAGACTACACTAAGATACTTAATTCTGTGCATCGGTTTTTGATTTCGATAAACGGTGTTGCCGTGGTTACTAAAAATAGAAATTTCTGTGAAATTCTTTCAAAATGCTACTCCTCCTACAGTTTTGGTCTGATTTTGATATAACTTGGCATACAAGTAGACTACACTAAGATACATAATTCTGTGCATCGGTTTTTGATTTCAATGAACAATGTTGCCATGGTTACTAAAAATAGAAATTTCTGTGAAATTCTTTCAAAATGCTACTCCTCCTGCAGTTTTGGTCTGATTTCAGTATAACTTGGCACACAAGTAGACTATACTAAGATACATAATTCTGTGCATTGGTTTTTATTTTGATGAGTGGCAAGGATCATTTTTCTATTTATTGCTGATTTAAAGTCTCAAGTCCCAGCTGCTACTTTTCTCTTCCTTTGTTTTAAGTATAAACCAGTAGAGCTACAGTCTCGACAGAGACTTCTGGTTAAAAACATATCGTAACTTATTTTTCAAGGTATTTCTGGTGGATTTTGGGTTTACGGAGACCATTCAGACCTCCGAGTTACGGAGTTTGAGGAAGGATTTTTCCCAGGATGCAGCATTCTCCTTCCTTTGTCACCTGGCGGAGGTTGTTCCAGCTGGGGACCAAAGCACCTGGTCCAGAACTGCTTGTGAGTTTATGTTAGAGGAAACCCAGGGCAAGAAACTCTACATCAAGAAAAAGGTAAGGGGCTGACAACCTTGTGAATTGGACTTCCAGAAATAAAGATTAGTTTTGTACATAAAATCTGAACAGTTATAAAATCTTCAGGTGGAAGATAAGGGGTCGAACTTTTTGTAATAAAGAAGAGAAAATTTATTTATTTAATGAGGCAGTGGATAATTATAGAAAATGGGAGAGACTTCTTGAATTTTCTTTCACTTTACAATTTTTTTCATCAGGGTGAGAAAATAAAGATGTCTGCCCCTGTGGATCTGATCTTGGAGACGGAGGTTCCAGAGAGTGCCCTGGAGCCGTCCAGAAAATCTTACACCAGTCTGATCGAGATGATGAAGGATAGAGGCCTGGTCATCCCAACTCCAGGGTAAACAAACACTGAATAAAATACAGATTTTCAAAAGGCTTGTTTTGAAATATTTTGAAATGTTTGAGATCAAGCTGAAAGTTATCCACCGATGTCGGTATAGGCAAAATGGCATCATTTGAACTTTTACCAAATTTTTTGTGCATTATAATAGGTTGGTTAATCAAATACATGTAAATAGTATCAGGACACATTCATGTAGGAAGTAATGCTGAATACATTGATAGTGGCTGTACTTAGAATTTGTAGGTTGTATCTGATCATCATACGCATGTCAGACTTCATTAGATACTGCTGAATATGCCTCTTCAATCTTCATGATAATAGCTTTGATAATTTTAAACCGGACATCTGTAAGGAATAGACGATAGGTTTTATAAAAAGGATTTAGTGATATATATATTAAGTACATTTACTTCGGTTCTTGACTCAAAAAAAAAAGTATACCGGGGTACTTGTATAGTGTCTGTAATGCTAAAAACCCATGCAAATAAAAAAAGTGCTTTACTCTAATGATACCTATGATGCCTGTCAAAGTCAATATTTTTAATTATTGAAAGCAGAAATCTTGAATAATTTTGATTCTGGTACACAAATTTAAATTGAAGAAGTACTGTTGAAGAATTTTATATTCTGTTTTTATAGGGCTTTGTCCAGGAAGAAAACCCCAGTGAAGGTACAACCCAAAACCTACCCCATTATGTTTTATGACCCACCCAATCTGCCTGAGGATAGCTCCTTTATCGGAATCCCAGTCTATGTCAACTTTGATGCCGTCATCTTTGTTCAAGAAGTCAGACAAGGTAAAGATACTTTCACCATGTTCGCTTTTCTGATTTAAAAATGGATGGTTTTTTTTATGCCCCTGTCATTCAAGGATTGTGGAAAAAGAACATTAGCATCGAATTAATTCAGTTCTTTTATTTCCTTTCATGATTGAACTTCTTATTTACTTTTAGATGAGGAATTTAAGGAAATGAGTGAAGTTATTCAAAAGAGGTTCATGGACAGTGACCCCCACAAGTTTGAGGAGATGAACTGGCAGCTCAATCAAGCTTGTATTGCTTATTTTCACCTGGATGAACACTGGTACAGGGCAAAGATTCTCTCCCTTGAACCTCACAGGGTCAAGGTAACTTGAAATGGCATTTTTAGCTCTACTGGTCAGAGACCAGAAGAGCTTATGCGATAGTAATGCGTCCGTCGTCCGTCCATCTGTCTGTTTGTCTGTCTGTCCGTCTGTCTGTAAACAATTTTTCAAAATGCTACTCCTCCTACAGTTTTGGTCTGATTTCAGTATAACTTGGCACACAAGTAGACTACACTAAGATACACAGTTCTGTGTATCGATTTTTGATTTCGATGAACGGTGTTGCCGTGGTAACTAAAAATAGAAATTTCTGTGAAATTCTTTCAAAATGCTACTCCTTCTACAGTTTTAGTCTGATTTCAATATAACTTGGCACACAAGTAGACTACAATAAGATACATAATTCTGTGTATCAGTTTTTAGCTCACCTCAACGAAGTTGGGGGAGCGTATGTAATACCCTCGGCGTCGGCGTCCCAGGTTAAGGTTAAGTTTTTTGGAGCAGTTTTCTTTTTAAGTACTTCTATGTCCTATTTTGATTAGACATGCACGGAAGATGCATCTAGTGTGTTTCATTGCACAAGTCAAAGTTTCAGATGCTGCAATTTCAGCAAAGGAATGACCAGGTTAATGTTTTTGGAGCAGGTTAACATTTTTGGTGCAGTTTTTGGTGTAGGTCTCATTTCCAAGGAAATATAAGCCCTATGTTGACCAAACTTGCATGGATGGTACATCTAAGGATGTACACTACCAGACTTGCTTCGGGAGCTGAATCTGACCTACATTTTCCGGTTGAGTTAACAGGTTAATGTTTTTGGTGCAGGTCTCATTTCCGAGTAACTAGAAGTCCTATGTTGACCAAACTTGCATTGATGATACATCTAAGGATGTACACTACCAGACTTGCTTCGGATGCTGAATCTGACCTACATTTTCTGGTTGAGTGAACAGGTTAATGTTTTTGGTGCAAGTCTCATTTCCAAGGAACTATAAGTCCTATGTTGACCAAACTTGCATGGATGATACATCTTAGGATGCATACTACCAGATTTGCTTCGGATGCTGAATCTGACCTACATTTTCTGGATGAGTGAACGGGTTAAAGTTTTTGGGGCAGGTTTCATTTTCAAGTAACTATGAGCTCTTTAATGACCAAACTTGCATGGATGATACATCTAAGGTTACATTCTACCAGGCTGGCTTCAGATGCTGAATCTGACCTACATTTTCAGGGATTTATCAGTGCCTTCTCAGGGGCCGAAATTCGGCCCCATTCCCAAATGAAAATGAGTTCCCTTTTTCCCAATTTGGCAGTATTTTTTCCCAATCGCAGAACATTGTTTTTTTAATTATCCTTGGAAAAACACAAAGAAAATTAGTCAGATTGTCTGTAATTTTCCTCAGTTTAACTCATTTAGCAAAGCTACAGTTGTAACACATGTTTAAAAACATTGCCAACTTTTATTCCGAATTTCCTCAGTTTTTTATGAAGTAGTGATATTGTGTATTTCTGTTGGTTTATATACTCATTTTGACTTGCTCAATTGATCTACGAGTGAATGGTAAGAACTGCAGGCATTATTTCAGATAGAAAGATATATTTTCAATGCATATTTTAGAAAATGTGCATTTAGTTTAAATTATTTTGTAGGAGGTTAATTATTATATTTCCCCAGGGACTTAAGTTCCCTGATCTCCCATGACCTGAATTGGAATTTCATGGCGCACAAATATACTACCTTAAGTTGTATAAAATGAATACTCATTAAATTTAAATTTACATAGCAACTTTATTAGTCTATTTTTCATACTTGATCTTGTATGGTGATTAATGAAGTTGGATCATATTTAATTGTCTGTAAATTGGTAGCCTAAATAAAAGAAGTAAATATATTGAACCTGAATAATGAATACATGGTTTAAGCAGCATATATATTTTTCCCAATTTCATCAAAAAGCCGATAACTTTTTCCCAATTTCCAAAAAATGGCGTTTCCCAAAATAGGCTGATAAATCCCTGATTTTTTTCTGGATGAGTGAAGAGGTGAAATTTTTATGCAGGTTTCATTTCTATGTAACTATTAGCCCTATGATGTGCAAACTCGCATGGATGATACATCTTAGGATGCATACTAATAGACTTGCTACGAATGCTGAATTCGACATACATTTTCCAGATAATGGACCAGGTAAAAGTTATGGGTGCAGGTCTATCACCAAGAAACTATAAGGCATAAATAAACCAAACTTGCCCAAATGATGCATCAAGGGATGAAAACTCTTAAACGTGCTTCAGATGCTGGATTTTGATCACATTTTCGTGATGAAGAACTAGTTTGAAGTTTTTATATAGGTCTGTTCCAAAGTATCAGATCGAAATTGCATAAATTTTGCATTTTTGGATGTACACTTTTTGGGTAATTGTGTGACTTTGCCTTACTTAAAGACAACATTCGTTGAGGTGAGCTCTGTAATCTCTGATTACCTATGTTTGATTTCGATGAACGGTGTTGCCGTGGTTACTAAAAATAGACATTTCTGTGAAATTCTTTCAAAATGCTACTCCAAATACAATTTTAGTCTGATTATAACATAAATGTGGCATGCAAGTAGACTGCACTAAGAACATAAAGAGACTTAATCAAGGATCATTATTCTATTTATTGCTGTTGAAAAGTTTCAATTTCCAACTGCTTAAGTACTTTTCTCTTCCTTTGCTATAAGTACAAACCAGTAGAGCTTCAGTCTCAACAGAGACTTCTGGTTTGTGAATGAGATAACATCTCAAATTGTGAGTACTATACTGATTTGAACTTATAGTGCATTTTAAACATCCAATGGTAATCAAAAAAAAATAGACATAATTTGGTAGCAGAAATTGTCTTTGGCATAATTTTGAGCTCTTGGGGATTAAGTATTTTTACAATTTCAGAATACACAAGTGTCTATAAAAAAGTGCTCAGTGTATGTCAATATTTAACTCTTTCTGTTTGATGTAGGTAAAGTTTGTGGACTTTGGGAACTGTGAGAACCTGTCCTATGACAAGATAAGAGCTGATGTAAAGGACTTTATGTACCTACCTCCTCAGTGTTTTGAATGTGTGCTGTACAACATACTGCCAGTAAGTCCACAATCCCCCTTATACTCTATCCCCTTTCTCTAGGATACTGCAGAGTCGGAACATTTATTTTGAAAATATTCTGTCAGTATTGATTTGTTTTCTTTATTGTGTAAACATGCAAATGTTTTTAAAATGTTTCTTTTTGGCTTTGTATTTTTAAAGTTAAATATATTTGATAAGATTGAATTTATTTTTTTTAAAGAAGTGTAATTTTTTAACTTGTTTTATCAGAACTCTGAAAGTGGCAAGTGGCCCAAGAAAGCTCTGGATTACATGCATAAATTATGTGTGACCAAAGCCTGTGTTATTGATGTCATGGAGGTATACTTAATATTTGTAGATATCCTTTTCTTTAAAGTTATAGGAAATACAAAAGTGTGTACTGTGTAAAGTAAGATATGACATGTCTTTGAGTAATGAGATTGATACTATAATTCCAAACGTCAGTGGTGTCAATATAAATAACCAGTTACAATGAATTAAGGAATGAATTTAATAGCTACCCATTTTATACGGTATAAACTGGGTTGGGGCAGTTTACGCTTTATAAACCGCGAAGCGGTTTATAAAAAAGCGTAAACTGTTCCAACCCAGTTTATACCGTATAAAATGGGTAGCTATTAAATTCATTACTTATAATTTAATTTTCATTCATTTGACATAAGAAAAAAAGATGATTGTTCTAACAAAATGACTTCAATTTGTACAAAATTTGAATGTAACGTCAGGCGGATTGATACGTTTTTGACGTAAGTCATTGTGACGTAGGCAACCCATTTTATACGATATGAAGTAAATTTTTTATCCAATCAATTACAGCGTTACAACCAGAATTAAATTATCAAAAACTAAAGTTTACTCAGTAAATTGCTCTTCCAAATATTTTACATATGAAAGAAACTGTAAAGAAATGAATGTCCGTTGTCAAGAACTGTGAAATCTCATTATCTCAAACTTGGTGGGACTTTGGAAAAGAGCTATGAGACATCCAAGGAAATGAGTTATTGAGGTTATACCAGAAATAAAATATAGTTGGAAGTTTCAACTCACCTAACATATCCTTAATACTGTAGAAGCACAAATTTTCATGAGGTTAAAATTTTGTGGAATTGTGGGCATTTAATTTCATTGTTTTTAAAGTAACCCTATTTAATTTATAGTCATATAAATTTTGTGTGGGATTTAATTTCATTGATAATTATTAAGAACAAAATAAACCATATTTAATACCCCATGAGTATTTCTGCTTTTACAGTATTCAAGATGTTGATGTTCTGGATACCAAAGTTCTGCTTTATAATGCATATATACCATCTATAAGAAGATCTGTTTCATTTACAGGATAGAGTTGAAGGAGAGCCGTTGAAGGTTAAGATCATGTTACCGGATCATCAGGACTTTGCCTCTGTCTTAGAGAGGGAGGGGCTGGCTGTGAAAGAAGACAGTCTACTGGAACTGATGCTCAACAGTCAGGAGATAGAGAAAGTACTCAAGGTACACAGGTCAAAATAGAGAAAGGCCTAAAGGTACACAGGTCAAAATAGAGAAAGGCCTAAAGGTACACAGGTCAAAATAGAGAAAGTACTCAAAGTACACAGGTCAAAATAGAGAAAGTACTCAAGGTATACAGGTCAAATTAGAGAAAGTACTGAAGGTATACAGGTCAAATAGAAAGTACTCAAGGTATACAGGTCAAATAGAAAGTACTCAAGGTATACAGGTCAAATAGAAAGTACTCAAGGTACACAGGTCAAAATAGAGAAAGGCCTAAAGGTACACAGGTCAAAATAGAGAAAGGCCTAAAGGTACACAGGTCAAAATAGAGAAAGTACTCAAAGTACACAGGTCAAAATAGAGAAAGTACTCAAGGTATACAGGTCATATAGAAAGTACTCAAGGTATACAAGTCAAATAGAAAGTACTCAAGGTATACAGGTCAAATAGAAAGTACTCAAGGTACACAGGTCAAATAGAGAAAGTACTCAAGGTATACAGATCAAATAGAAAGTACTCACGGTATACAGGTCATATAGAAAATACTCAAGGTATACAGGTCAAATAGAAAGTACTCAAGGTATACAAGTCGGATAGAAAGTACTCGCAGTATACAGGTCAAATAGAAAGTACTCACGGTATACAGGTCAAATAGAAAGTACTCAAGGTACACAGGTCAAATAGAGAAAGTACTCAAGGTATACAGGTCAAATAGAGAAAGTACTCAAGGTATACAGATCAAATAGAAAGTACTCAAGGTATACAGGTCAAATAGAAAGTACTCAAGGTATACAGGTCAAATAGAAAGTACTCAAGGTATACAGGTCATATAGAAAGTACTCGCAGTATACAGGTCAAATAGAAAGTACTCACAGTATACAGGTCAAATAGAAAGTACTCAAGGTACACAGGTCAAATAGAAAGTACTCAAGGTACACAGGTCAAATAGAGAAAGAACTCAAGGTACACAGGTCAAATAGAAAGTACTCAAGGTACACAGGTCAAATAGAGAAAGAACTCAAGGTACACAGGTCAAATAGAAAGTACTCAAGGTACACAGGTCAAATAGAGAAAGTACTCAAGGTACACAGGTCATGTAGAAAGTACTCAAGGTACACAGGTCAAATAGAGAAAGTACTCAAGGTACACAGGTCATGTAGAAAGTACTCAAGGTACACAGGTCAAATAGAGAAAGTACTCAAGGTACACAGGTCAAATAGAAAGTACTCAAGGTACACAGGTCAAATAGAAAGTACTCAAGGTACACAGGTCAAATAGAAAGTACTCAAGGTACACAGGTCAAATAGAGAAAGTACTCAAGGTATAAAGTCAGGAGATAAGAGAACATGCTCAAGGTACACAGGTCAAGAGGTCAACAGGTCAACCTTTTGATCTTGTTCATTCATAAGTTTGTCTTCACTTCCATTGACATTCATAAGCTAGTGATTGAATCAATTTACAATCCTTATGTTTTTCCAATTAATTAGGGTTAGAACATTGTCAAGAAATGCAGACAATGTCTCTGAGAGTATAATTTTCTACTCTCACGAACATGTACAGTATTTTTAAATCTGAGTTAAAATACTCAGATATATATATTCATATTCACAGTTTTTGAAGACATGGCTCAAGATATTTACATGTAAATGGATTTCTTCTCCATTTGCAGACAAATAACCCATACCAAAGTATGCCGTCTTTCTCCATTGGAGAATATTTTACTGTTCTGATCACCCATGTGGAGGTTCCAAATGTGGTAAGTTTGTCTGTCTTATAAAGCCCAACAGGCCAAAATAAAATAGGAAGGGTATTTACTATCATGAATATACATTAATGTTGTATTAGATAGGATTAGGGAATACATGTACACAACATCCAGATTGGTCAAGTTTCGCTGTATATATGCGAAGAATGCTCCTTGAATTCTTTTTTCTTGCCTCTTCATGTTTTAATACTTGTATATTTGTTCTTTAATACAAACAGGTTTATTACCAGCATACTAGATATAGTGGCGATGAAGCTGATGAAAGGACAGATGAAATTAATGAACAGCTAACGAGACTGGAACAGATGTGGGTGGAGCTTAATGAGGCTGGACCTGTAGCTCCGCCCCTAAAGAGACCAAGGCCAGGTAGAAATTATTAAATTAACCTGCATCAAATCAGACTAGAACAAAATTAATGTGGGTGGAGCTTAACGAGGCTGGACCTGTAGCTCCGCCCCTAAAGAGGCCAAGACCAGGTAGAAATGTGGATGTTGGGTAACATACACTTGCTTCATCTGAAAATGAAATTAATTAACAAATACTTATCCCAATGCGATTTCTTTTTTTTTTCAATCGGAAGAAGTGTGATACTGTATGCAGGGAAATTTTCGCGCCCGTTTTATTTTTGCCCCTTTCGCCCTCTTCATGATAGGTGAAATTTAAACGGGAAAATTCAAAGAATACCACATAATTTCTTAAACAGAACTACAACTCTACGAATTTAAAATGGGGCAAAATTGTCCGCAAGTGCAAGAAGGCGAAAATAACACAGGTGAAAATAACCTTGTGTACATTACACAGATGACCAATGGGGATCTGTGTATCTGTTCCAAGTCACAAGTGTTCAATCATGAGAATTCCAGAAATCTTTTAAAATAAAATAGGTGTGGGAATATACTGTAAATCACTTTTTATTTGCGAGAACTTTATTTTCGCGTAATTATGCGAGACGGAATGCTCGCGAAAATTTCATTCTCGCGTATTATAGAATTCCTTAAGATTATATATTCGCGAAAATTTTGTCTCACTAATAAAGAGTCAATGACTATCTCGCGAAAATAAGATGTCGCGAAAATTAAGTGATCTACAGTACTTGAAGCAGACTGAAACAAAGATACCTCATCGTCATACAAGCATTAGGACCAATTATCTATGGACAATATTTAGAGAAGTTATTCAGTGTTATTATTCTTCCCCAGGCCATGTTGAATTTAAATGTACAAATCAATTGGTTTCATGTTACAGGGATGATGTGCTGTGCTCAGTTTGCAGTTGACCAGTGTTGGTATAGAGGGTTGGTCATCACGGCTCCAGACCATCAGAGTCAGGTCCTGGTGTTATATGTAGACTTTGGTACTTCTGAGATTGTTACACTGGACAGGTGAGGGTGTGTGTGTGTGTGTTACACTGGACAGGTGAGGGTGTGCGACTGTGTGTTTTAGGCACATACTGGGCTTCTGTGGTGTGTTTACTGTGATGTTGAATTTGATATTGTGTACTCCTAAATACAGTGTACAAACATTGATTAAATTTTGTGACTGCATGCTAATTGATTTGAATAAGAAATACATTTACATACATGTGATTTGGATGCACTTGAAATAGAGGGTTTGTTCTTTAGAACATAGCATAATGAGTTATAAATAAAAAATTATGAAACATAATATAAATGGATTTTTGAATTAAGAAGTATATAAACCAGTTTTGAAAGTCAAAATGTGGTCCATTTGAAATGTAACAGAACATTTGATTTATACAGGGTTAGGTCCCTACCTCGGGAGTTCCACAGGCTTCCGGCTCAAGCTAATCGCCTCGTTCTGTCTGGGATACAGCTGCCCCAAGGTCACTCCACCTGGAGTCGACAAGCCCAGGAAGAAATGCTGAGGGTGGTGGGAGCTCAAGTGGCACAGTGCTGTCTGAAGGTGGGATTTTATACATGAAAATTGTTGACCAAATGGGATGTGAAAAAGACACTTGTACTTGAAAGATTTTTTTTTATTACAAGACACCCAACACAGATTTTTTTCTTGATGTACATTACAATTTCCATTTTAGAGACACAGTGTGCAATTATTGACTCTAAAAGCCTTTCAAATAGACTGATGGAATTATCTGATAAAAAATTGATAATTTATTTTAATAACTTTGTCAAACATGCACTTCTGCATGTTAGAGCTAGGAACTAAACATGAAATTTTTTTCAATATTAAGTTTTTGGAGGTGGATGTTCTTGATATTTTGCTGTATGATATGAATTCTATTGAATTGTTTTCTTTTTCTCAGACACTAGATCCGTTAGAGGGTGAACTCTTCTTCACGGAGGACTGGAATAACGTGAAGCTGGTGTATCAGGAGCTTATTGATAACGGCGTGTTACATTACTGCGAGGAGACAGATTTGTAAGTATAAAGACTACTGTAGTTATGTGTACATGATTATGATAGAGAATGTCGCATGGATTACTGAATATGTTATTCTTAGTCAAAGTTAGTTTAATACTGTAAAATACATAATATATTTTGTCAATGCTGCAACATTCTGATTTTAATGTGGATCTCTTTAAAAATAAAAAATTGCTTCAAGGAAGTAAACACTAGAAATACTGGTATCAGTTTGTGAATTTTTGTAAATTTAATTAATAAAGTGAATAATGATATTTTTAAAGTAACTTTTATCCTGGGTGAAAAGGTAAGTCAATCATTGGTTTACATGGGTTAATATACCGCCTTCATTCACTGTAGTGGCAAGCTGTCTGTATAAAATCTGCTTTGCTTTCTTTTGCATGCTGTATATGTAGAGTATATACCTAGTATGTACATGTGTTTGATTGATATGAAAAGGAAAATTACACACAAACCTGCTTGGTTGTGAATGCTGTAAAATGTAGTGCTGCTGACGTACACAGACTAACATCTCACTCAAAGATGTAATCTTTAAATTGGACTATTCTGCATTTGAGAATGTACAAAATTCTGATTAAATTGATTTCTAAAGGAGTAAATGAAACAGCACTTCAGATTGTATACAAAATATACACTTTACCTCAATATTTTGACAATGAAAGTATAATCAATTGAAATGAGCTGTTTAAAGAAAAAAGATGTTGCTTTTAAATGTTTTGTCTTCATCTATAAAATAACCTGTTAACCAAGATCTGCTCTTATACATACAGTAAAACATGTTTAATATAATGAAGTGCCAGGGACGACAATTTTGCTTCGTTATAAATGTAATTCATTATGGCATTTAATGTTCAATATATTTCAAAGTCAAGAGGGAATGACAATCACTTTGTTATAAGCATCAATTCATTTTAAGCTTCACTTAGTATAAGGGTGTTTTACTGTAGGTGTATAGTCTGGAATTAGCATTGACGCTGTACTTTAGAAAATTGGCGTTATATAAAGGTGTAGACATACAAGAGAATACCTATTGACATTGTATGTAGACAGTAGAGATCACACATGAATATATCGGAAATCTGGTTAACCTGTAATCATTTTGTGGCTGTGTTTTAAAAATAATAGTTGATTACATGGAAAGCATTCTATCTTTTGTCAAATACACCCGTTTTCTGCAAAATTCAAGAACATTGCATTTTTACAAAGCATGTTTTCCTAAAACTGGATTCTCAAAATGAAAGTTTGTTATAGGAAACTTGAGCACTAAGTCTACTTTATTTTGATACAATTTAACTAATTGAGATAAAGAGAGGACCATTTTATTCATAAAGTGAACCTAGCTCGGGGTCATCTCCTGTTACAAGATGGATAATCTAGAAAAATGGAATGTAAAAAAAATTCCATCAAAATTGTAAGGATTTTGTGAAACTGATTATGTGATATTTTGTCAAAGTCCAAGTTTAACCTTAATTCTTTCAGATTATTCTTACATCCAGATCACCCTACTTCTGACTTGTGCTTTATTTATCAAGTCCTAGGTGTGGTTGTATGTGTAATGGCACTTAAATTCTGTTTTTTGTATTAAACATGTTTCTTTTTTTTAGTTTGTACATAGAATTCAAAAATATATATTTGAAGATAATATATGGCTTCTGTTTGGACAGTCACAACAAACTTCTGATTATGATAAATTCTTCAGTCATAATGACTGAAAGTTTCTGTTTTTGATCAGTTTTACTATTGGTGTAATTGTAATTTTTAGCTCACCTGAGCCGAAGGCTCAAGTGAGCTTTTCTGATCACATTTTGTCCGTCGTCCGTCCGTCTGTCTGTCCGTCTGTCTGTCTGTCCGTCTGTAAACTTTTCACATTTTCGACTTCTTCTCAAGAACCACTGGGCCAATTTTGACCAAACTTGGTACAAAGCATCCTTGGGTGAAGGGGAATTTAAATTGTTAAAATGAAGGGACATATCCCCTCGCAAGGGGAGATAATCAAGAAAAGACAAATATAGGGTTGGATCATTAAAAAATCTTCTCAAGAACCACTGGGCCAGTAAAGCTGAAACTTATGTGGATGCATCCTGGGGTAGTGTAGATTCTAAATTGTTCAAATCATGACCCCCGGGGGAAGGGCGGGGCCACAATGGGGAATCAAAGTTTTATATAGAAATATATAGGAAAATTCTTTGAAAATCTTCTTCTCAAGAACCACTGGGCCAGAAAAAGTGAAACTTATGTGGAAGCATTCTGGGGTATTGTAAATTCTAAATTATAGGAATCATGACCCCCGGGGGAAGGGCGGGGCTATTATAGGGAATCAAAGTTTTACATAGAAATATATAGGAAAAATCTTTGAAAATCTTCTTCTCAGGAACCACTGGGCCAAAAAAGCTGAAACTTATGTGGAAGCATCCTGGTATAATGTAGATTCTTAATTGTTCAAATAATGACCCCCGGGGGAAGGGCGGGGCCACAATGGGGAATCAAAGTTTTATATAGAAATATATAGGAAAATTCTTTGAAAATCTTCTACTCAAGAACCACTGGGCCAGAAAAAGTGAAGCTTATGTGGAAGCATTCTGGGGTAGTGTAAATTCTAAATTGTAGGAATCATGACCCCCGGGGGAAGGGCGGGGCCATTATGGGAAATCAAAGTTTTACATAGAAATATATAGGAAAAATCTTTGAAAATCTTCTTCTCAGGAACCACTGGGCCAAAAAAGCTGAAACATATGTGCCCATGGAAGGATCATGGGGTAGTGTAGATTTCAAAATGTCTAAATTATGATCAGTGGGGTAGGGTGGGTATGCATTATGTATAACAAGCGGGAAATCTGGTAAAGAACAGAATGGTCAAAGCTTCTCAGGTGAGCGATGTGGCCCATGGGCCTCTTGTTTCAGATTAGGTTGATTGCTGGTATGGTGATGCTCTCTCATATATGTGTTGGTCATTATAATTTTTCATTGGTTGATTGCAGGTATGATGAGGCTCTCTCATTGGATGATGTCATAGAAACTGAGGAGGATGTTGTTATTGAGGAGGAGGAGGAAGAAGAAGAAGATGACGACAGCCAATCAGAAAATGAGAAAGTATCATCTGATCCCATCACTGAGGAGGACTCAACACGAGAGGTCCAAACAGAAGAATAGTGTATAGGGTCGTACCATTGTTATATGTTCACATCAGATAGATTTCTGCATAATTGATGTTAATGACTCAGCAAAGACTTCTTATTGTTTAACTTGATTACATTTTAATTGCTGGAAAGATATTCCTTTTTTTTACTGTGCCTATTGTACAGTTTTTGTTCTTGAATCTGTAATAAAACATAAGAGCGGAGCTGGTTCTTTGAAATTTGCATTCATTGAGATGAAGTATGTGTATATGATTCTTATGCATGTTGAATTGTACAAGTTGAAGTCCACAGAAAGGCATGTCAATTTCCTCGATCTATTTTCAAATTAACATGTAGTGACTACATGTATTTTTCTCAACACCTTTTGCTTGTTATAAAGGTCCCACACTTTTTAAAGGAAGTTAGGGTACGTAGTTATCAAGGGACTTGTTTAACTTGTGCTTAACTTCTGAAACTAAAGTAAATAACAAATATTATCCATTTTCTCTTCCTGTTGAATTTTCCTGCCATGTCAAGATGGTATAAGAAACCAGTTCCTGTCCAATTTGTCAATTTAATCTTCTTTAGTTGTCATATCTATGGAAATCCTTTAGTTACTAAATATTTTCACGCACAGGAGGACGAAAGAACTATTCAGGATTTTATTCTCGCCTTTCTGGGTACGATATATGGTATGTCAATAACTATTTTGCCTATGCTGCTTGAATCATAATCAACATGATCAAGTGAAGGAATTGTAGCCAAATCTTGTGTTGATTCCACATTCTGTGTTTGGTTCCTGGGGCCCATGCTGGGTCGTGTTGAAATGGGATCTGGATGCACTTGTGAACAACATCCTGTAACTAAAAACACATTCCAAAAAGTAGAAAAGAAATCTCATGGGCTAATCCTTTTAATGTTAAGATTTAAATTTTTTATTAATTTTAAGAAATTTTTATAAGAATTAAAACCATTGTAATCTCAGCTAGTACTACTGTGTTTACATCTTACCACTCGCCTAATACACCAACAGCAGCCAAGACAAACACAGATCATTGACAGAAATATAAAGCATCCTACTAGTGTGCTCTCCACATCCATTATCATCTATTCAAGAAGTGATGTCAATTTTATAAATTGGGATGATCTGTAAGAAAAGGGTGTCTTATTGAGAAGAAACTTTACAAGAGTAGCTCCGCCATTCGGTACTTTATTTCGGTCTGTTGTGTAAATATTTGTGTTATCAGTCTAAATGTTCAAGTAATCAAATGTCCAGAAAGGTCATGTCGTCAAATTAAATGATATATATGTATGTACGTAAAAGTGGGGAATTCCAATGCTTTAAAATGGCGTGATAGATTAAACATGGCGCGACAACAAAATCGGTCTATACTTGCATTTAACCTGAATTGGTCAATCTTCAAATAACGAAATGAATTCAAATTTGACCTCCATAGCAAATTTAATTGATAAAAGAATTCGGACATTGTGGTCTTTCACTTAATAATAAATCAATATAGATTATTGAGAAAAGACTTCAGTTGACTAATACAACTTTTTACTTTTAATTTTAAAATTGTCTCAAAATCCCCAACAAAGGTAAAGTTTGACAGCTGGGGCATTACACTGTGTATTAAATCGCTTCCTGTGTGTAAGGATTAGCAGACAAATGGCAACAGGTAGACTGCTAGCCCCCAAGGCATTCACACCTCTACAAAATAAGCCCCTCCTTTACCTGGAACTTACCACCCGGTAAAAAATCTCTGCCTTTAAAATCGCTAAAATTACATCTCGCGAAAAATAAAAAAAAACACTTTCAAGGACAAATAGTTAAAACGTCTTGCTAAAATTTCCATTTATACGGTTTTAGTTGGAGGGAGGGGGTGATAAAGAACTTTTTATTTAAACAATAAAATGCTTTCTTTGTTATTACTGGAATTAATGGAAGCAGCTGTTGCAGAGAAAATACATAACCCGCTTATGTAATTTTTTTGTGAATGAATTAAGTCTACCGGTAATTTGGTTGCTACTGGCTTTTTTTAATTAACACTTGTAATACGCTAACATCTAAAATAATATTTCTTTTAATATTTGAATTTATAGTATTATGTCATAATAATTTTTTAAATCTATTAGGTAAAAGAGTTTTCAAAAAATTCAAAAATAAATCAATATAGATTATTGAGAAAAGACTTCAGTTGACTAATACAACTTTTTACTTTTAATTTTAAAATTGTTCAAAATATAAAGTTTATATCTGTGTATTAAAAAATCATTCAAAGTAGCCCCCAAGGATTAAAAGATTAACGTAAAAAAATGGGTTTTCAAAAATTACATCTCGCTAAAAATGAAAAAAAACAAAGGACAAATAGTTAAAGAAAATATACGGTATTAGTTGGATGTAAACTTTTTATTACAGATTTAACTACATGTAATGTCATCTACGAGAAAAGTCTTCCCTTGAAATAATCTCAAAATTTAAAGTATACATGTAACAATACTTTAAATACAGCTGTAGTTGGAAAGATTAAAATGAATCTAAGATTTTTCAAAACCGTAAGCAATTCTATATCACTAAACATAAATAATTGTGAAAATATGACATTTTGATTACATGTATTTAATTGTAATATATCGTGTAGCAATCTTAATTTAAAACATGATTGTTCAGGAGAATATAGATATTTTTAAAAATTTGACTTTAGACTCTAAAGTTTGCTCTCAGCTCATGACCTAACCTTGGCATCTTTTTAGTAAAATAAATATTTGATTCACAACTCTTTAACCCTTTTAAAGTCTTTTTTTTTTTTTTTTTTTGTAAATTGATAACATTCTTTAGTTTTTATGTCAGTTGTGTCTTTTCTTTAAAAACACGAATTAAAACACGCTTATAATGAAAACGCTTAGAACGAATCGACGCATACAACGAAGTGATTGTCATTCCCCATGGCTTTAAAATATGTTGTGCAGATATTATAGCGAATTACGTTTATTACGAAGCAAAATCGTCCACTCCTAGCTAGCTGGCACTTCGTTTTTAATGTGTTTAACTGTATTTGAGTATAGACTTGCTGACTCACTGTGATGCAGCAATTTGCCTTCTTGTTTAATCGTTCGTGATGATTACAATTCATAGGGCGTCAGAAGCAAATTAAAAGTGGAGTGGTTAATTGAAAAGGGGGGATGGGGCTTAACCAATGAAAAAAGGTGTAACTCCAATTTTCAATGCCTATATTATGTCTATCTTTGCAAGAAAAAGGGGGGGGGGCTAAACCAACGCCTATGCATTTAAAAATCCAGTTCCAGTGGCGGATTTAAGGGCCCCCACCCTAGAATAGTCAAAGTTAACGTAAATCACAGTTTCGTCTAGAAAATGTAATTATGTCTACTTCGTAGACCTCATTTTTACTCTACAAAATCTCTAGAACCCAGGAGCTTCCGGGGGCTTCGCGCCCCCTGGGCCCCCACCAGGGCTTTGCCCTAGACCCACTGGGGGCCTCAAGGCGGCCCCTAGACCCCTTGCCTACTTTTGGCGCCCCTTCTAACTTCAATTCCTGGATCCGCGCCTAAGTTCTATCCACTGGCCATCTGCAGCTTCTCCTATGCCGCTGAAGAAAATTAAAAGTTACGTTCACAGATTTGTTTATTACATAATGCAACTGTGCAACTCCTGTTTTACTTTCTTGGACTTAATTTAAAAATCCTCCTTAAACTCCTCAGTCGTGGTGACTTTGCGGAAGGATTAAGTACATTTTACCGAAATATTACGGGTCGATTACGTTCGGTTTTATCTTTCAAATAACATTTCTCGGCCTTGGAGGTTATTCTGTAACATTAACGAAAACGCGGACTTAATTTCTTAAGTAAATCAGACTTTCAAGGTGATTGGAACATGTAAAGAGTCACCGTACGTTGAATCGGCTAATTTTCACAACCATGCACTTCAATGTGAAATCTATACCTGCCCTTAGACTAAGGTCTCATTTTGGCAGATTTACGGTTTATTCTTGTACTATGTGAAACATGTTGAGATAACGAACAGAAATCAAGATCAAAAGTCCATGTTTCAGTATTTGTATAGCGCTGACCAATTCAATTGGAAGTGGCAGGATTAGGGGTAAGAGATCTTTCCTTGCTGTTTGAAGTAGTGACAGCAATGCAAGATCAATGCATTTTTCAATAACATATTTTCCAGCTCCTTACCTTACATATAGGCGACGTAACCGGTGGGCGGCTTTTAAAATTTTTTTTATCTTTTTTTTTTTATTTTTGCATAGGTACTAGTAGATATACATGTATCAATTAGGTATTAAAAATTGCGGCATAGCCCTCAAACGTTTTTTGTTGACCTATTCCCTGACCCCTCCCGATCCCTGATCCCCAACATTCAATTTTTTTTCTGACCTCTATTCTTGTATCATACAGACTCGTAGATTACTATATTTTGAATGAGTGGTTAGATGGCCCCATCCTCTTTTAGGAATTATACTCGGTATTTGATCCGCCTTTGCACAGTTTTTAATGTTCCAAACACTCGATATGTGAAGGCTTAATGCTTTCCTTTACTAATATATTCAAATGCAAATTTGTTTTATAAAAATGGACCAAGAAAAGTAGTAAAAAGCACATGAAATGATGTTAAACTATGCTTTATTTTTATACGCCCGTCTTAAGACGGGACGTATTATGTTATAGGCTTCATGTCCGTCTGTCTGTCCGTCTGGTGACGTGTCCGGCTCATAACTTGAATACTATAAGGCCTAGAGTTATCAAACTTTGTCAGCTGATACATCTTTGGGTAGAAGGTGTGTCGTGCACAAAAAGTATCTGACCTATAATTAAAAAGTTATAGCCAAATATGGAAAAATCCTGTCCGGTCCATAACTTGAAAACTATTGTAATCATCAAAACAACATAGAGGGTGTGTCGGCCTATTTCAAGGTCACTGTGACCTTTAATTTAAGTGAAATTTAAAAAAAAACATTACACACTCCAAAAAATGTAAAAGTATTGCACTATCCTTATTAGAAAAATGTTAAATCAGGAAAAATACTTATTTCTTTAGCATATACTTGACAGCAATATATAACAAATCTAATGTATGTTAAAGAAATTCCACCACTCCCATGAGTTTAATTATCAAGCACTGGTCAAGAAGAATTTTGATAACAGAAAATTGCATGTCAAATTAGAGAGAGAAATTAATGAGTTTAGTGTGAGGA